TATGAACCCTTGCCTTTACTCTAATTCTAAAATTCATCCTAACCTTAACCCTATATACCCAGGGCCGGATTTCCCATTAGGCAGAGTGGGGGCCCTGAAGTCTGATTGGTGGGTTTAAGCCATCCAATCAGAGTGCTCTGACAGGTAAATGAAGAGACTGACAGGTAAGTCTCTACATTTACCTGTCACAGCACTCTGATTGGTTGGTTTGAAATCCACCAATCAGAGTGCTCTGTGCCATTTTACACAGCGTGGGAAAGTTCTTTGGAATTTTCCCACACTGTATAATTTGACTCATAACTCTCTGATTGGTTACCTAATTTTCCCACGCTGTGTAAAATGACACAGAGCACTCTTTTTTGCGCTTGTTTTTTTATTTTTTATATAATTGCGTTATTATGGTTTTTTACTTGGCTTTTTTGGGGGCTGAAAAAAGAAGATTTTAGAAGAAAGAAAACATTAAATGGTAAGTTTTTTTTTTTTTTTTTTACAGGTACTTATTTAAAGGTCCCCCCTCATTATTTTTAGGGTGAGGGGGGTAGGTAGGGGGATAATTCTTTTTGGGGGGGAGGGGGTGACTAGGGGTTTGGGGACCCATAGTCACCTGGGGGGGCATTTTTATTAGGGCCCCCACTGGCTGCTCAGGGGTGGGGGCCGGGGGGGGAGGACAATAGGTCCCCCCCTTATTCTTGTTTAGGGCCCCCACCCACCGCTCAGGGGTGGGGGCCAGGGGGGAGGACATTAGGCCCCCCCTTATTAGTATTTAGAGCCCCCATGCAACGGTCAGGGGTGGGGGCCAGGGGGAGGCATAAGGTCCCCCCCTTATTCTAGTTTAGGGTCCCCACCCACCACTCAGGGGTGGGGACTAGGGGGAGGACATTAGGTCCCCCCCCTTATTCTAGTTTAGGGCCCCCACTCAGCGCTCAGGGGTGGGGGCCAGGGATGAGGACATTAGGTCCCCCCCTTATTCTTGTTTAGGGCCTCCACCCTCCGCTCAGGGGTGGGGGCCAGGGGAGAGGACATTAGGTCCCCCCTTTTTCTTGTCTAGGGCCCCCACCCACCGCTCAGGGGTGGGGGCCAGGGAGGAGGACATTAGCCCCCCCCTTATTCTTGTCTAGGACCCCAACCCGCCGCTCAGGGGTGGGGCCAGGGTGCAGGACATTAGGTCCCCCCTTATTAGTATTTAGGGCACCCACCCGCCGCTCAGGGGTGGGGGCCAGGGGGGAGGACATTAGGTCCCCCCCTTATTCCAATTTAGGGCCCCCACCCGCAGCTCAGGGGTGGGGGCCAGGGGGGAGGACAATAGGTCCCCCCATCATATTACTTTAGGGCCCCCACCTGCCGCTCAGGGGTGGGGGCCGGGGGGGGCAATAGGTCCCCCCTTTAGTTTAAAAGCCCCCACTGGCGTATTGCGGGTGGGGACTCGGGAGGGGGACCCTATTTTTTTTTTTTTAAACTGTGAGCAACTACAGGCTGCTCACTGTTTAATAGACATGCCCCTACTCACGGTATAGCGAGTAGGGGCATAATTTACTAATACTAAGTAATCTTTACAGCTGTAATCTTACAGCTGAATCCTGGCTATGTTTGTATACTTTTTATTTAAAATTGTATACAATGTAACATTCTCCTTCTTTCACTGGGTAAGTATATTAGTACTTAGGCAATACTGTGCTTCGGAACTTCGGCACTTCGACACTTCGACACTTCGGAAATTTCGGAACTTCGAGACCTCGGCAATTCGGCACTTCGACAATTCGGTCATTCGGAAGTACCCGAATGTCCGAATTGCCCGAAATTCGTCCGAATTCATATTCGGAGTAAAACGAATTGCACATGTCTATTAGATCCCACCCCACACAATTGTTGGCAATTGGCAGATGGGCAGGCCTAATGAAAAGGGTGGAATCTACCTAAGGAGGCAGAGCATGGTGTTGCATAGTGTATCTACAAATCACGTGTGTGTTCTGCACCCCCCAGTATCGGCTATGGTAGGGGGCACCATACCTCCTGTCTTGTGTCTGCTGGCTGCAGCACATTGGGATCACTGCATTAAGTCTAAAGAGAATGACCTATGTATGGCCCTGAAAATGCAACTTATAATGACTTCTCCAGTCTCAACTTATCCAACCCTCTGAATAGAATCCCTCCCAACAGCACAAATATTCAAAACAGGTGTTGTCTCAAGCACACCTGATGCAACTAATCAAGGTCTTCATTAGTTGCACTAAGTGCGCTTGAGCTAAAACAGTTGAAATACCTGAGCTGACAAGGGTTTGCTGAGTGTCAAGTTTGACTGCATGTTAGAAATATGGCTATGTCAAAATAATGGTCCATAAAGTTAAGGGAAGAGATCTTCACCCTTCAAAGACATAGAATAGGATACAAAAAGAGAGCAAGAACATTCACAAGTTCAAGGTTGAAGGAACAGTGGTTACACTACCTGGGCGGGGTAGAAAATGAAGCTATCAATGACCTCTTTCTGAGAAGGCAGGTTGTGAAAAACAATTAAGTGACTGCAAAAGACTTGCAGCAAAACTTGGTGCAACAGGCATGATGTTTCAATTAGCACAGTAGGTAAATATGTATATACCATATTCAGCCTTAAATATTACTCCAAAATAACAGGAACTCTAAATTATAATGTTAAAACTTTATTTCAAAATTCTTTCCATAAAACTGGGAATACTAACTCACGTTAAATTTAATACGAACGGTAAGCTTAATCTAACGTCATTGGTTCCAAACCTAAGTTATATTGTTAAGCAAAACCTATCCTTAAATACTACTATTACTGAATACTAACACTAACCCTAACAGTGTCAGTAACCTCAATGTAATTAATATCCCTAACCTTAAATACTATTCCAATACCAAACTCTATTTAAACAAATAGAATCAAATTGCAAAAATAAAAGAATAGGTGTCCAAAAGATGCATCTGTTTTGCAGAACCCCTTTAAGCAAAAAGGAATGGAGCTACATGATGAGTAGCATGTGATTACAGTAACTTCCCATAGAGTCCATAGGTATCTAAATCAAATAGAACAATGTATAGGTAATATAGGTCCTCCCTGGATTCTTGTTATAATAGATAAATAAATAAAAACAAATTAAAAGTGGAACTCACAAAATTATGTAAAATCATTATATCTTCTTCTTTGTGGATAAAGTCTGCTAAATTAGATTTCTAATGTAGCACTTATGATATTATAGTGGGTTTTTCAAATTGTCTGAAATATAAAAAACTCACTAGTTATTAATTTTCACTGCAGCTGTGTATATGCCTATTATTTCTACTGATATGAAATAATCTTACTGTAATCAACTCAACTGAGGTATGGTAGAACTTATACTTTCAAATGCATTTGAATAGTAATTTAATTGTAATGAAGATTTATACATTTATAAATTGGCAACATGATCTAAAAGATTAAACAGGAACTATCACTTTTCTGGAAATTATCCAACGGAAACCACTTAAAATCACTAATGACATGTATTAACCTTTTTTCATATGATGTTTCTTTTCTTTTTAGAGGAACATTCAGGCTTTTGAGACAATTGTCTCATTCAAATTCTTTGTATTTGAATGAGACAGTTGTCCTATTCTGCAGGCAAAAAAGCAGGTAATTCATATTTACCTGTTTCTTTACCCCTGTGTTTTTCAAGCCTACCTTATTGGAGACACTGATCCAAGCAAACAGTGTCATAGACATTGGAATGGAGGAAAATCTCACTGAACATATTGGCCACACATACATGCACAATTGAAAGATCTCACTACGAGGATACGCTTTGGCCATGGCATCATCTAGGAAACCACCAAACTCTTCTGGGTCACTGTGAAAGTGACACTTCAAATTTTGAGGCATTGGGGACCTGGCATTGATTGGAACATAGCCGCTAGGAGTATGTTCTATGAACATCTCCTGGTGGCTTCCACTATACTGTTGCATGACACCACTAAAGTGAGAGCCACTAGAAAGCTATGCTTAGAGTATGCCACAGCCCAGCTCTTCTGCAGCTACATTGTTCCATTGGACTCAAGAGATGGAGCTCCCCAGTAAGATGGAGATTGGTGACAAAATAAGAGGTGAGGACATATAGAGAGATGGGGAGTGGAAACATAGACAGAGATTGGGGTGAAAATGGACATGAGAATCAGTTACATCAAAATATAAACAGCAGCATCACATTCCTATTGGATTTGGGTGCACTGGAGTAAACATTTATATCCTTGTGATGACTTTATAAATATATTTAGTTTTAGATAAAACAACTCTAACAAAGCCTTATATCAACTGCATAAATCATGTTAAGGCCATTACTAGTAGCATTTTATGTCTTAAATTATTCAGACGATGAAATGCTCTATGAATACCAATCAAAGGTTACCTCTTTTTACAGAGGAGTGTGTATAACAAAAGTGCTCAAAAGAGTCAAAAAGTGATTTACAGGCAGCTCAATACACTAGTGTGGAAATATCCTCTATTCCACTGAATAAATTTAGTAGATATTGGTGCGGTGTAAGTGACAAGGACCTACACCTATAAGTGGAGCGCTCAAACACAGATAAATCTTACCAAAATGTAGTCTCATTCAATGGTAAAATATGGGGTACATGTCAAAATAAAATACAGAAAATACAATATAGTGTAGACGGCACTAAAAAATGGCTGATTATAATAATATCGTGTTGAATATTACACTCACATTTCAAGGAGCCTGTATATAGAAAACACTGGCTCCGTATAAAGGCTTGTGTGCTGTTATGGTAGCACCACCCTCCTACTTTGGCTTGAAGAATTTCTCGGGAACACAAAAAAAAGAGAAGAAAGCAAACCAATGTGTAGACTTATGGTGATAAATGACACAGATATTTTACCATTGAATGAGACTACGTTTTGGTAAGATTTATCTGTGTTTGAGCGCTCCACTTATAGGTGTAGGTCCTTGTCACTTACACCGCACCAATATCTACTAGATGAAATGCTCTATACTCAGGGCCAGATTAAGAGCCCAGTGGGCCTGGTGCTGACAATTATGATGGGCCTAATTACAAAATCTTATCGACCAAAAACACTAAAACAGTCCTACCTCCTCAGCGTCATGTATCTGATGGAGATGGTGCTGGAAGGAAACACATACCCCATGCTAATCTCACGCTTTCATCTTTCAAGTAAACCCATAACCCCTAACAGCAGTGTCCAGTAAAGCATGAAGCCTATGGATGGGGTAAAAGGGTGGGCTACTGACACAAATCACGTAACCAGGGGCGAACATACACAAAAAGGGGGCATGTCTGTGTCCCCATGTATCCCAGTGTCCCCACGTCACTAGGACACTAGGGGACATTAAGAGACATTGGGACACTTGGAGACATGGGGACACTGAGATACTAGGGAACACTAGGAGACCTGGGGACACTGAGACTCTTGGGAACACTGGGAGACATGGGGACACTGGGTGACTTTGAGACATGAGGGGACACTGGGAGACATGGGGCACTGAGACACTGTGATACATAGGGGACACTGTATACTTGATAAAAACCTGGGAACAGGTCAAAACGTTGTGGTGTCCAATAAACCTGCTTAAATCTATCACAGTGAGTGCCTGAGATTTCTTTCTTTTATACTAGGGGACACTGAGACACTTGGGAGCACTGTGAGACATGGGGACACTGAGAGACTAGGGGATTCTGAGAGACTAGGGGACACTGAGACACTATGGACACTGGGACACTGAGAGACACCAGGGACACTGTGAGACATGGAGCACTGAGACACTCTGATACATAAGGGACACTGTGATACATAGGGGACACTGGAGACTTGATAAAGATATGGGTACATGTCAAAATGTTGCGGTGTCCAATAAACCTGCTTAAATCTATCACAGTGAGTGCCTGAGATTTTTTCTTTTATACTAGGGGACACTGAGACACTAGGAGACATGGCGACACTGGGAGACATTGGGACACTGAAACACTGGGAGACTAGGGGACTTTGGGAGACTAGGAAACACTGAGACACTAGGGACACTGGCACACTACGGACATTGAGAGACACCATGGACACTGGGAGACATTGGGATACTGAGATACTAGGGACACTGGGAGTGCCCCATGCCTCCCTGTGTCTCTCAGTGTCCCCATGTCTCTCAGTGTCCCCATGTCACCCAGTGTCCCCTAATGTTTGTATCCCCATGTCTCCCAGTGTCCCTTAGAGTCTGTGTCCCCATGTCTCAAAGTGGTTCGATGTCACTAGGACAATAGGTGACACTTAGAGACATTGGGACACTGAGAGAATTACTAGGGGACTCTGGGACACTAGGGACATTGAGAGACACCAGGGACACTGAGAGACATGGGGACACTGAGAGACATGGGGACACTGAAACACTAACGACACTGGCTGGGAGACATGGGGACACAGAGACTAGGGGCCACTGGGAGACATGGGGCCACTGTGTCCCTAGTGTCTCAGGGTCCCCATGTTCCCCAGTGTCCCAATGTCCCTAGTCTCTCACCGTCCCCATGTCTTGCTGGCTTGGAGCTGCTGTCTGGACTCTCTGTGCAGAGCTGCTCCCTCGTGGATCAGTGTGTAGAGAGAGGCAGGGAGGGAGATGCTGTAACTTCTTTTCCCTGCCTCTCTCCACACAAACAGCGGCGACCCCTACTGGCCAGCGCTGGTATTGCAGAATAATCTCTGTTTATACTGAGACAGACATTTGTATTGCTGGTATTACTGCAATACCTGCACCGGCTAGGCAGCCTCAAATACCTGAGAAATACTTCTGAGAAATACCTGGCAACCATAAGAAATACATGAGAAATACCTGGCAACCCTAAGAGTAGTATGTAAAAAATATATATATATATATATATATTTTTTTTTTTTAAATAAATGGGCCTATTCCATAGGCCTGGGCCTGGAGCTGCAGCTCCATCAGCCCCTATGTTAATCCGGCCCTGTCTATACTGCAGTTCACACTATAAATGCATGCATATGTGTTTTCATTTTACTAATAAAATGAGAAAACATGTTTAAGGAGAATAAAGCAAGGATGAAAAATCATTTTTTTTCTATGGTTTTAGAACTTAGGCAGCCCCTCTTCTAGTTCCCCTTGAATATTTTATTACATATAAAAAAGAGCATGTGTGTGGTTTTGCCTGTTCTCGGAATTCTCATATTCTCTCTTTTTGTTAGAATGTATTAACAATGTGCCTAATGGTGTATAAGCTAGAGCTCACTAATGACGCCGAAACAAGGCCAAAATGATTGTGTGGGCTAGCTATATCTCTTGTGCAGAGAGGACGTGCTGTGATTTAGGATCTGAACTGCCCTTATGGGCTTGACCAGTCTGATTTGCAAATGGCATAGGGTCACTCTGTAATGGCACAATTGAGCAAAAACTAGTTTGAGACCTGAATTATGATTTACCAAAGAGTTTCTCTACATTGTTGCCCATTCTCAGAGTTCTCATATTCTCTGTATTGTATACCTTGTAACTATTAATTTCTGTATACTTTGTAATGAACAGTTACTCATACATATACATTTTTAATATTTAGGGTGATTATTAATTATTAGGGATATAGAATATTTTCTACAGCAATTCTTCTACAGCAGTGTTCATCAATTTCTGGCATGCTAATTTAATGGTTGACTCCTTTCACCCCTACCCACATTACCGGCTGTAATAATAATGTTACTCATTGAAACTTCCTGTACTGTTTGAAAGTAGGGGGTATTCTTACATTTTCAGCAAATTTATAGGCATGATATCAGTGACTAGTGGCTTCTGGCAGAGAAATGCATTCCTCTGCAGGCTAGTTTTAATAACTAGAGTATAAATGAGGGTGAGTAAGGATATAAATGAGGGTGAGTAAGGATTTATGGACTTAATTTCATTCTGCAAAATACAAGTAAATGAAAACACTTACAACAGATTTAGGTAGTGAAGTTGTTAAATATAGTCTGTTCTAATGATTATTACATTTATTAGCTAATAAAGTACATTTAGGAGTCCCTCAGTAAGATTGATTTCATAGAACAAAAAAACTATAATTATTGCTTTTGTAATCAATAAACAGTTAGTTCATTATTGTAATGCTTTGTTTTATTTTCCATACAGGTACTGTAAAAATAGTAGACTCTAGTATACTCTAAGTATATGTAAAAGTTGGTTTGGTAGGATTGACGATACTGAAATATGAGAAAGCAAGTTGCCTTCAAATAGACAAAGTGCCTATGTCTAAGTGTTTTCCGCAAAGTTTAAAAAAGGCTGTTAGAGAAAGTTACAGAACAGTCATTAGAGAAGCAAAATCATTTTGTCACTGGGCTCAAATTCTTTTCTGGCATGAGCACGAAAGCATCCAGTAATGGGAACATCTTCAGAAGAAATGGAAAAAGCTGAAGAAAAATTCCAAGAGTCAATATATGGATGTTTCAAAGTCGGTTTAAACTTTACACGTGAGAATAAAAGAACTTTGTGATTTATGCTTTCCCTTTGTGCCTACTGGAAATCATGGTTGACAGGAACTCTCACTGTTATGTCTCCAAATAATAACCTAAATTATATCAAAGATTAGATGCTAGAAAACCATGAAATGTACACTCTGTAGAAGTGCAAAAATACATTTAAAGGACATTTGGAGTATCTAAGAGAGGAATTGTTAGACTGTACTTGATGAAGATTTGCCATGCCCAGTGAATAGAATTTACAAGGAAGCCCAAAGGAGATTGATAAGTGGAGAAAGATTTGGTGAATAAGAGATGTAGTAGAGACTGCGAGACTAGGATAGTAAACGTAACACTAAATATAGATGAATAATATAACTATCATCATCCATATACTAAGGGCTGAATGATAACAGGTCCATTGGTGCTGTAACATTTTATAGATAGTATGTGAAAGAGGAATGAGAATGACTGATACCAGAGAATTTAGTGGAATATAATGGAAGCTGAAAATAAGGATGAAGTGCATGAACGGACTTAGATTTGTTACATACAGGACTATAAGAACATGAATGAACAAGTATGCATTCAAAGGCAAGGCATGGAATAATTACAGGTAAAAAGAGACAAGACCGCTCTACACTAGGATATTCAGAGTAACAATAATGTTAGCAGATGCAGAGATCAGGGTCAGTCAGACATTGTAAGATTTAGTAAATGAGGCTAAACATAGGGATTTCAGTGAAGGTAGAGTTTTATAAAAGAAACAATACTCTTCAATGTGTACATGGCATCGAAATCAAATTGAGTATCAAATAAAAGATGTAAAGTGGTAACCCAGGCTGGCGGTGAGTCCTTTCATGCAATACAAATTCGGATCCAGCACACATAAGGGTCTGATCCTCGCTTAGTGGGATCATTATGAGTGGTACTGTAAGAAATTGATATGCAAAGCTGCAATATTGTATATAACTTTCTGTGTATGTGACTAGTCTCACAACTTGGGATCATCTACCTGATAACAGTGTAATAATGATCAAAGCTTTCAGTTGCATTTTACAGAACCCAGTTAAAACAAAAGATCAGAAAATCAGAGTAATTAACATCTAGGTGTAATCATGGAAGTATGTCTTTTCCCAAGCCATCCTGTCCAACCTACCCAGAAACCTAACCTAACTGGTCACCTCTTACAGAGTGGTATAATATAGCTGGGGAAGAGCTCAAAGGGACTTGTGTAAAGAAAGAACTCTCTGGGAAAAGGGGGCTGGATTAATCACTTTTTGGGAGGTGAAAAGGATTCTGGGATATGTAGTTAAAAACTGCTGGAATCAGTCTTAAAAAGGACAACAGCCAAGGAGGTTGGGTTTTCTTTCTCTCTTCGTCTCTTTTGGAGGACAGTACAGCAAAGCAGAGATGCCCTGGTAAACTAAGAGTGCCTGTCCCAGACTACCAAAGATGAAGGTTCAAGGGGAAGATCTAGATTTAAATGTTTAAGAATTGCCCTTTTTCTAAGTATCTTTTGGTTTTGGACTGGATATGCTTATAATGTGCATGGAGTAAATTCTGTAGCAGTATTATTTATTTATTAAATATTTTAATAGGGAGGATGCATTGAGATTTCTCTTGTTTTCAAGTATGTCCTAGGTATCCTAAATCAATATTAACAATACATGTTATTATACTCTTGTATTTGTGTCTTATTTGTCACACATTCCCTGAAAGAATAACCTTGTAAGAGGGTCATAATTTCTTACAGTACCTTATTCAGTTTAATTTTGTCTCCATGTTCCAGAGAAGGGACATATAAGCAAGTATATATGCATGTTACACTTGTGAATATTTTGTTTTGTGCACCGTTGTTTCTTTGATTTTTGTAGATTCATTATGAACTACAATTAACTTGAATATGGGCTGATCAGGTTTAAAAAGTCCTGAAGTAAAAGATTAAATATAGCCGAATCATCAACCAAACAAATCTCACAATGGACGAGCAAATCAGTTTTGATTCATGATTTGGAATTCCACCTGTGCCACCAAAAAGAGATGATTGATGAGTAGAGGACGGCCGATGAATATTGATTTTGTTCACAGATTGAGTGAGAAGTGACCAACAGAGGGAGAAAAGGAGAAGCAGTAAAAATATCTATATTTATATATTATATATGTAATAAATATATAATATATAAATATACAAACATAGATTTGTTTACTGCTCCTCCCCTTTTCCCCTGTATTGTTACCTTTTTTTGCTTGATCTGTGAACCAAATGGCAGAACAATTTATCTATCAGTGTATTGTAAAATATATACAAAATATTTATATTTTATATTATATATTTATATATATTTTCTAGTACAATAATTGGTATATTTTCAAACTCTTTTGGTTCATCTGATTCATTTTCCTGATTTTTTTTTTTTTACGTTGAAAGGACACCTGACTAACTAAATGCAATAAATAACTAACAATGTTAATTTATACAAGTGCCAATTTCTCTTGAAATCTGCACTTTTTGCAAAATGTAAAAAGATGACATACATAATGCACTTAAGCAAGCTCAACTGCTTTAAGGGTCTGGAGTGTCTATTTAACAAAATTCAGATGAGCTGAACTGCAATATGGCCAAAATTAAACTTTCTTGGATTTATTATATTTTTGGACAAATTGGTCAGCAAACCTCTTCACCTCTTACAGTATATGAATTCTAAAGAGCAGAATGTTTCATCCTGCATGAAGAGATGATAACTTGGAAATATAGTTAATCTCACAATTTGTTTTCACTTGTACCACTCATGTTTAGATTTGTGCAAGATTGATTTCAATGGATTAATCTATGATCCTTAAAATAAATGGGAATCATGGTCAATATTTTAGAAGTAGGGCTATTTGAGCACTTTTATTAAAACATTAGTGCACGTGAATTGAAATTCTGGGTATAGTGCAGATAACGCTTAGAACACATGTTCACAGTATAGATCATGACACTTAGACTATGGAAGACTTACTATTAGAGTTGAGCGGACACCTGGATGTTCGGGTCCGGTGAGTTTGGGCGAACTTTGAAAAAAAGTCCGGGTTCGTGATCGAACTTGACCCTGAACTTGACCCCGAACCCGACCCCCATTGAAGTCAATGGGACCCGAACTTTTGGCCACAAAAAAAGAGAGCTGCAAATGGAAGTAAAATGGGGGTAAAAAGAGTAGTACAAGTGCCCTGCAAACAAATGTGGATAGGGAAATCACTTAAAATAACATAACAATTAAAAATCCAGCTGAGCCATAAAATAGCACTAGATGGAATCTTTGATTTTAGCTTTGGAAGAACATAAATCAAAATCTAAAGCATGGCTGTCAGGAGGATCACCAGAATTATCCATTTGAGAGAGGGTTGGAGTGCAGGGTATTCTCTTTCATTGTTCAAACTGAGCTCAACTCTTGATGCATGGAGAAAAGGCCTTCACAAGCCTCTGCTATTGTGTACATAGTTTATACTAAGTAACCCATAGGCTGAGGAGGCGGTGACCGTGGTGGTGTAGGTGGAAACAGCGGTGGAGGAGGAGGATGAGGTAGCCAACACTGTTTTTTATGTTTTTTTTTAAATTGTGGTAGCCCACAAAATATTGGGACATACAACAAAAGAAACATTTGCGGCCTGCGGTGCATTTCTTGCAGTCCTGATGCATGGAGAAATGCTCATCTCCTGATGCATGGAGAAAAGGCCTTCCCAAGCCTCTGCTAATGTGTACCTAGTTTATACTAAGTGACCCATAGGTTGAGGAGGCGATGACAGTGGCTGTGTAGGTGGAAGCAGCGGTGGAGAAGGAGGATGAGGTAGCCAACACTGGTTTATATATATATATATTTTAATTGGGGTAGCCATCAAAATATTGGGACATATAAAAAAAGACAACTCTGTTCCGCAGAGTAGCTGTTGACATTATAGTTGCGCAGGCACTTCCCCGTGACGGCGACTTTGCATTTGGATGCCATCCATATCAACTTTCGATGCCATTTTCTGCACCTACCATGGTGACCACGAGTAACGGGGAATCAGGGTTCCATTCCGTACAGGGATCCTGAGAAATGGCTACCACGTGCAAGGAAGGCAGCAGGCGCGCAAATGACCCACTCCCGATGCGGGAAGGTAGTGACACCAAATAACAATACAGGCCTCTTCCTCCAAACTGCACACGTCACTCGCATGACCTTGATTCTATGTGGGGTCTAGGACTTAATCATCCTCCACATCGTCTTCCACCCACTCCTCAACCCTGCCCTCCTAGCCGGTATGAACAATGCAGAAAGCCACAGCAGTTGGCACCTGTGTTTTTCCAGCATGTAAAGTCTGCAAAGCACATATGGAAATTGTTTGAGAATTGTATCCAGGCAACAGTTTTCCCTATAAACTGACCTCTCAGTTTGACTGTTTGACTTGTGAGGGTATTGCACCAAAATTACAATATTGTTTAAGTACTTCTTAGCTGTTGATAACTGGTTTAAATATAGCAGCTTGTTATCTGGTAGTTTCTAGTGTAGAAAATATCAATCTGTTTTCTATCACTTAGATCTGTGTAACAAGTGTTGTAGGTGTGAAACAATATTACAAGTGACCGATGTAGTAAATTCGAATCAAAGTTACGCTTCGATTTGATTCTCAGATATGAAGTGAACACCCCAAATATACTATTTAGCACCAAAATTATTTTTTTTTTAAAACAAATTGACTTTTTAAAACTCCAATGTAAGCAGCAGATTAGCAGCAAAATAATTAGAATGTTTACAACTGCGCAGTGAGCGCTCTATTTGACGCTTTTATTTGACTCTCAGATATGAAGAACAGGCCCCAAAATGTACTGTTTAGCAGATTAGCACCCAGAAAATAAGAATGTTTACCACTGCGCTGTAAGCACACTATTAGATGCTTCTATTTGACACTCAGATATGAAGAGCAGGCCACAAAATTTACTATTTAGCAGATAAGCAGCAAAACAATTAGAATGTTTACAACTGTGCAGTAAGCGCACTATTTGACGCTTCTATTTGACTCTCAGATATGAAGAGCAGGTCCCAAAATGTACTATTTAGCAGATTAGCACCCAGAAAATAAGAATGTTTACCACAGCGCTGTAAGTACACTATTAGACGCTTCTATTTGACTCTCAGATATGAAGTGCACCCACTAAAATACTATTTAGCAGTTTAGCACCCAAAATTTTTTAAGTTTTAAACCTGCAATGTGACACCATTATTTGACGCTTCTATTTGCCTCTCAGATATAAAGTGCACCCCACTAATGTACTATTTAGCAGTTTAGCACCCAAATATTTTTAAGTTTTAAAACTGCAATGTGACAGCATTATTTGACGCTTCTATTTGACTCTCAGATATGAAGTGCACCCCACTAAAATACTATTTAGCAGTTTAGCACCGAAAAAAATTTAAGTTTTAAAACTGCAATGTGACAGCAGTATTTGACGATTCTATTTGACTCTAAGATATGAAGTGCACCCCACCAATGTACTATCCCACTAATGTACTATTTAGCACCAAAAAAAATTTACTTTTTAAAACTCAGATGTAACCGCGGTATTTGAAGCTTCTATTTGACTCTCATATACGAAGTGCACCCCACTAATGTACTAGTTTGCAGAATTCTTTCCTAAGCTGTCCCTCACAGCTGCAGCATGCTCTCCCTACACTAATAAGAGCTCATGTACGTGCGGCGCTACATGACTCCAGCTTATATATAGATTCTGGGTCACATGCTGCACTGGCCAATCACATCCATGCCATTAGTAGGCATGGCTGTGATGACTTCCAAGGGCACACAAGTCAAATGCTTGCTGATTGGCTGCCCTGTAGCCTTTCAAAGCGCGCCATTAAATCGCTGAACACCGAACTCCAACCCGAACATACAGTGATATGTCCGTGTTCGGGTCCGGGGTCCAAAAAACATTCAGGTTCGCTCAACTCTACTTACTATTAATATATGTAGCATTCTTTTCAATTCTTCAGCACAACAGTTTGTTTTATAAGATATTGTCACATGAACCCAGGCAGATCAATCAGTGTCTTGCTTGTTTTGACAGATTCTATGCTAATGAAAGCCACCTGTATTTATGTCAGGAGATCAGGAAAGCTGGCACTGCTGGGGGTTTTGTGGAACATGATTAAAATTCTTTTAAGGGAAGCATGGATCAAATGGATTTCAAATATTATCCCGTGATTGATATGTGCAAACTAAAGTTACATTCCATCTAGTAAAATATATCAAAATGTACTCAAATGGAAATGCTTTCCATTATATTTCTATGGCTTCTGAGAAAATATCTGAGATTGTTGCAATCTACAGTAACAAATGGTTTGTTTAACTGTTACAATAAAAGTAATTTGTGTCTCAAAAAGTAATGCCATACAAATAATATGGGAAAAATAAAAAACAAGTCATGGAATAACTTTTTTATGTGTATTTCATAGAATTTGATTATCATGAAAGTGCCGCAAATATATATCTGTTAATGTCTGAAAGTAATGTTGGGTTTCTGCCTTCATCTGCCATTCCTCAGTTCTCATGCATCCTTAGTCCACTATGCACATTGAATAGTCACAGGGTTTCACAGACTTACCTGCATCTGTCACCTGTGCCACTCGCCTCCTCGGGCCGCCCAGATTCCTGAATTTAAAAAAAAAGACTTGCCTTCGGTCCTGAGAATGGCTCCCTCTGCTGGTTCGGGGGTTGAACTCCAGGCTTCTGCATAGACATTAGGATGCTGCCTGCTCTAAGGTACCACATCATCTAGATGAATCTATGCTGTTTGGAGATGACATGGACCAATTAGAACACATGTGGACCTATTTAAAGCCTATTCAGGCCCTTACTCATTGCCCTATCATGGTTTCTATTTAGTTACATGTTTAGTTCTTCTGCGACTCTCTTGTGATTTCCCGCTATTGAGCTTGGCTTAGTTTTGACTCTGCTAACCTCTGGCATCCTGATCAAGCTTGTTTATTGACCTGTGTATTTTTTCTATCCTGACCTGGCTTGTTTGTCGGGCATGCATATCTCTGTGTTACTGACATTGGCTATTCTTGACTTAGATTCCATCTTGTAATACGTTAAATTAAGCCACTCTAAGGCCCAGTAATATGTATTTTTGAATCTTGTAATATGGCTTTTTGCACTTTGTGGTTGTCCTTTTTCCTGAGTGTAAGGGTAACAGCAACTGTGACACAGGGTGGGCTGAGCACGCAAAGACATGATGCCAGGGACATGGAGGACAGGTGAGCATTATGGGAAAATTTTACTTGACAAAAGAAGTAGAGTTTACTGTAAGCTGTAAGTTGTAACTGTAATTTGACAAAACATCACATTTTGTCAAATGGAAGAAAAATACATAAGGCAAAGTTGTTCTTACTTTGCCTTATGTATTTGAAAAAAATAAGAAGAAATGAAGAACAGATTGAAATGACTAGAAGAAAAGAAGAATCAATTCAGGAAAGGTAAGTTTGACATGACCGAATTGGAATAAATAGAATTTTAATTTGACTTTCAGAGAATTTTTAATATCAGTCTAAAGATTGAGTGTATTGGGAATGTAAGTGTATTTATAGATTAGATAAGTGCAGGTGTAAACCGGTCTTCATAATAACTAACATGAAATAAAATTAGAAAAGTATTTCTGGCACCTACACATTCTCAGAGAGACTTCAACTTCTAGACCAGAACTTGTTGATGAGACCCACAATATCTAAACTGTACAGTCCATGGCTTTCTTCTGCTCACTGATCATTTTGTATCAAAACCCATGCTGTGGGTTAAAAAAAATCTACAGATTTACCCCTGTGTAGATTATGTTTTATGTTCTATATCTATGATAAAACTGTATGCATCCTGCGCCAATGAACAGAAGAAGAATAGAGTGCGTCGGGACACACATGAGGACTCAACTTCCGTCAGAAAATATGCTTTCTTCTGGATAAGCTAATGCTTTTATGCTATATGCTACTGTATCGCTAACTACCTTTAAATGTGCTTTATATGATCAGCTGACTGTGTGACTTAAAAAAGAATTAAAAAATAAAAACTACAGAAATGCAAGGAGAAGTCTGAAATCCACCGCCTGTCTGTGCTCATTGGTATGTCAAGCCGGAAGATCTAGGATAGTTGTGGCAATGTCATTTCCTTAGTTTCTGTGCCCCAGGGAATTTTCAAAAGTCCTCCTTGAGCTATACAGGTGATGCTATTTGCACTTTTGGGAGTTTTATTGTGTTTGCTCTCATCACGATAATTTTGGCACTTCGTTATATTATTCCTGTTTGGTGAACACTGATATTACATGGCCATTTCAAAATGAAGCAGGTGAACCAGAAATTATGGAAGATTGACCTATGTATTTGCCAAATTGTTTCTTTCTACAAGTATAAAATAAATCATTAAAACTTACTCTGAAATCTAAAACTACTTTGATACTCGACAAAAAAAAAAATGTACTAGCAGTTTCTGAAGGTGTATTTAATGAGAGAAAAATCGTATTGGTGACAGATACAATTTAATGATATGTTTTCACCTTTTCTTAGTTTTAATTGTCTTAGGTTTTATGCTTTGTCTTCCAGAAGATATGAGCTTATAGCACTAAAGGCTTTTATAACTGTTTGAAGAACCAGTTCACTTAATCTCAAAAAGTGGTCTAGGTACGGTGGTCCTTTAGTTTTAACCCTGCAATCTAAAACATTGATGTTTAGTAGATATTTAAATGTTATGATTGCAGGGTTGATGCGCCTCTAGCAGCTGTGTTACTGACAGCCGCTAGAGACATTCTATTGAATAACCAAATCAGATTCGGTTATTCAGTCAAATGACCTTCATAGAGAGCATTTGATTGGTACAGTTCAGCGGTTTGTTGTGCATGCACACTGACCTCCCAATGCGTCTTTATGTGGAAGCATTGGATTGGCTGAGATAATTTGTATTGATGACCTCAGCCATAAATGCAGGACTGGCATCATGGATACTGGTGAAGTGAGGGCTATAAGGAGATTAAATGTTTTTGTTTTATTTCAAACGAGGGTCGGTAACCTGAACCTCACCAAAAGAGCACTATAGCATTACGAATACATGTTTTTATTCTTAATGCATTAGTGTTCCTTTAAAT